AGTTTAAAGCAAGTAACAGTCTGATTTATTTACCCCATGGTTAAACTTCAATTTTGTTTTCCATAACACATAATTTGTAAGAAAGTTGTAATCGTGGTTCAAATTAAAGTTTTTTGTTGTTATTATTGTTGTTGTTTTTGTTAAGTCGGCCATTTCCTCCTGCCCCTCGGAATATGACAGGCTGCACAGGAGGCCCACGGCAACAATGTTTAAAATATAATCTATTATGCGTTTAGTCAAGAGACCATGAARGACARAGAGGGGCTCTCGCGCTATCCTTTGGATATCAGGATTCCCGAAAAGTTATTTTTATCGTGATTACTCCTCAGGAAAACTCTCCCGTTTCCGGTTTAAAGCTGATGTACAGAGAGCCGATATCGAGAAATAAATAGTCAGATTATCGCACTTTTTAAAACCCAAATCGAAACCCTTTTATTCCGTTAATGATTCCCAACGATACGATACTTCAATTTGTCGTTGAAAAGATTAAATACATCATATTTTATGATTGAAAGAGTAAGAAAAGAGTTTGAAAATCACTGCGAAATTGAGGCAAGGGCTCGTGCACATCCCAAGGCCATTTTTCGCTTCTTTAGGAAATCTAAGAAATCCTTCATTGATTTTAAAACATTTTCAAGCATAACTTGTATTTAAAAAAGCATTATGTAGAAGACTTCAATTCTACCAAAGCTGCGAGTAAACCAATCTAGATTTTTGTAAACGCCTTCACGAATCAATATTTTTTTCCAAAAAAAAAAAAGGAAAATTTTTTTCTCATAAATTGAGGAGAAATCTCTATATTTTTCAATTATTGGACCACAAACCTAGCGTAAACAAAACGTTTTTTCATTTGTCTCAGAAGCACATCGTCAGATTTAAACTTAGATCTTATTAACCGAGCGGGAGGTYTGTACGGGATAATCTTGACCGAGGTCGGAATGTACAGACCGAGGTCAAGATTATCCCGTATAGACCGACCAAGCTCGGTTGATAAGAGTCTTATTATATCGCGATGCGCGATGCGATCTATCCAATCAGATTGCTCGATTTGCTATTTTACAATAACTTACAAATTTCTGGCGCGCTGATTGGTTATTTTTTATCATCAATAAGAGGACAGACAGATAAAGCTGACGTCAACGAGCGCGCGCTCTTTCCGTYGATTGTTTTGATCACTAAAAATGAGAAGTTTTTATCGTTTTTGTTATTGTAAAAAACCAATTGACATCAGATTTTTATGTGTCTGTCCTCTTTTTGAAGATAAATTTCCTCATCACATTGTCAAAGTAGTATGCGGATCCACTCGGGCTACGTCTCGTGAATCCACACTACTTTGACAATGTGATGACGCAATTTATCGTCAATAACTTTCGCGAGGGGACGGAAGAGCGGACGTCTGTTTTTTTTTTGGTTTTTTTTCCCAGGCTACTCAAAATGTTGCCATCATAATTCCTTTATTTTCCCTAGAGTATCTCTTATGAATCTCTACTTTAAAAAGATCATATTGACACAAGCGTAATAAAAAATGAGATTGTTTTAATCTAATATTGATATGCAAGATCTATTTACATGCACAAATCAAAATAAATATATAGAATCCAATCAAACCACTTATTGAATGTGCAGTAGAGTGCAATTAACAATTAATCCGTGAAACACTAATTACTAAATAGTACAAAATAGCGCTAATTAAACAATAGAAAATAATGGAATTTGCATAAAATTGTCCTATTTAGTATTGCTAAAGTTTCACGGATATCTTGTTTGCACTCTAGAGTGCAAACACTAGAGTGATCACAGTAAATCCGTGAAACACTAATTACTAAATAGTACAAAATAGTGGTAGTTAAACAATAGAAAACAATGGAATTTGCATAAAGATGTGCTATTTAGTGTTACTAAAGTTTCACGTATTTACTGTGGTCACTCTAAAAGCGTGAAACAGCACTAATTAGTAGTAAATCATGCTAGTAATTAAACAAAAAAGAAAAAAAGGATTTTGTGCYAATTAGTACTATTTAGTTTTTGTGCTATTTCATGGCTATGTTTGCACTCTAGTTAGAAATTACAAGCGGAAGGTACGTTTTTAGAGTGGTCTTCACAAAAGATTTATCATGAGGTAGTGCTTAATAAGTCTATTTTACGGGTTTCTGAAAACCACTCTATTGCAGATCAAACATTTTATTTTGAAGAGATCCGTGAATTCTTACTGAGTGAAGGGGGGGTGGGGTGGCTACAACCATTTTTAAAAAGTTTACTGCAAATCCCCCCGCCCCAATAAAGATGTCTTTACGAAACTTGATCTCTGTATTGAAACAAGTGTTGTGTAAATTACGATGCTCAAGGTTCTCGTAACGTTTTCACGGTACGGTGGGCCAATCGCGTGCACGATATCACTGATCCTCTARCCCGACCACGTGCTCGAATAATGAACTGGCAAAATCTTAATCAATACGCTACAAGGCGATTGGGGTGGGGGGGGGAGGAGGGGAATATCAATATCAAAACCTGTAATACTTACTATCGAATAATATAGGGTGCCAAGTGTTTAACACAGCAGTGCCTAGACCATTCGCTGCCTTTTGCGCAACTCGTTTAGTGTCTAGTGTCCTGAATAGGAGATCATTTTGCCAGTGACAGTTGAAATATTATTTGTATTGTTTATACAATCTTTATATAACCATCTACTGCATAGCAAAGGTTTCATGTTCTAATTAATAAKAGCSAAAATATTTACAGTAAATTAAATTAAGGGATGTTAATAGAATGCTACGGTATGCAATAAATTTCTTTTGCATTTCTTTTCGAACTTCTGAATCACTTCGTCGATTTCGTCTTCAACGTCATCAAGTTCTTGTATCTGAAAGTGAATGAGAGAGCAAAAAAATTGAAAAAAGGGCAGTTGTAATTTCTATTATAAAATAATTGAGATACTACGCGCGCTATGATTGGTCGAAAACCATGTTTGATGAGAGTATCAAAACACGCTATCGTCATTTTTAATCTATCGTGCGCGCTCATTGGTCAGTTTGAATAAGACTGCACGTAGGGAGAATTTACTTAGACTTTGCGTTTTCTCGATCTTTTCGCGCGTTTATTTTATACGCGTCGTGGTTTCCTACGCTCCTCTTGTGTTCTCTCAACATCCCGCGTGTTTTGATCAGAGTATCAAACACGGAAAACTGTTTTTGATCTGTTAATTCATAGTTCTTCTCCTGACAATTATCGTGTTCTGCAACCCCGCGTGCTTTAGGACTGCACACAGCACGCGCGCGCGTYTTCTATTTCTTCATTAGTAAACTCAGGGAAGGAAGCCTTTGAATTTTAGTGGTCATCCTGAGAAGAAGTCTCAAGTAATAGAGAAGATCTATATAGGAGAGCCTTCAAGATRTTAAAAATAAACAGATGATCCCGAAAAAAAAAAGGGATACTAATGAGGGTTTGGTTTGGATTTCACCCTATAACACTCTAACTCTTTTGTGTCCTATTGTGTTTATATGACTATTACTCTCTATTACTCTCTATTACTCTAGTGCCCTTTGTTTCATGGGTTTATCAAAACCCCGGCTCTATGCTTACAATTTTTTACGGGTCAAGTATAAAATCACTCTGTCAGTATGCAGCTAGCAGATATGTTGATCCAATGTTTTGTCTATACTTACATCTTTACAAATTTCGCATATGAGGAAAGCTCCTATTGTAGCCTCTTCGTGGTTATCTTGAATGTCAATATTTATTACATGTACAGGAGTGTAAGACTGTTGTCCAATGCTTTCCAGGTCTAAATAAARCACACAAAAAGATCCCAAAATTAGTCATTCATAGTAGTAATTTTGGATGTAAATCTATATTTATGAAGATTGGCATTGAGAACATTGTGGTCTAGCTTTGGTACAAACAGTCATCTTTTGTTTACCATAACTTACAYGGTGTCGTTTGCACCCAAGTTATACCACAATGCATCATGTTTATTGAAGTAAGAAAAAGCATATGCAACATGACATTTGCTACAGAAACAAGATATTTTCACCATTATCCAAGGCTTGGGTAGGCTTTCATTAACATCCAACAGATTTGTAAGAACATTATGARAGCCAATGAAGCTTAAAACATAAAGACTTTGATTGCTGCATGGAAGCCCACCCCATATTACTCTTGAAATTGGTTTTACAAGAAAAYAAAACGTATTTCAAATAAACTATTATTTCAGGAGAATATAAAGAAATTAGTTGTCTCTKACACATATTCTACAAGTTTTTGTTGCATTTCATTTATATTTTGATGTTAGCCTTGAATTCAAGACAATATTAAGAAGGGTCCTGTATATGTTCACCCCTATACTTTAAGGCCGACACACACAAGGGAGCTTGCTCCCGCAATATGCATCTGGGTAATCCTGGGTCATGGGAACTAGTTATAAATCCAACAAATAAGCCAATTTGATTGGCCAACTGGAGAAAGGTTGTTGCGCGGCAATAAAAGTTTCAGTACACACGAGGGAGCTTTGCTCCCGAAACACGATTCTGCAACAGATTTGCTCCTCAACCTGTCTCATCATATTTAACCATTTTGAYATGAGGGAGCAAAACCCGGGAGCAAAAGTTTTGTTGCTCAACATTTTTTTCGTGTGAAATCGTTGGTACAGATGAGGGAGCTTTGCTCCKGGRGCRTGTTGCRGGAGCAAGCTCCCTCRTGTGTGCYGGCCTYTTATGATAAAACGGAGCATTCATTTCTTAGAAGGGGGTGGGCCAGAAGAATCTCTATAAACAGTAATGTAAAATCTTTAGTCCCCCCTTTCTTCTGTCTGGATAAAAAAGTTACCCTCCCCTTCAAATTTGTTTAATTCTTGATAGCCCCTCCCCCTTATGTAGCAATAAATATTTGATGCCCCCCTTTTTGACCAAGTAGAAATTTAAAGGCYCTTCCATGTATTTTCTTTGGCCCACCCTCCCTCCTAAAAATGAATGTTCCCTTAGTCTCACGTTTTAATTCTGCATATAAGTTTAACACTCTAAACTCACGTTCAATAACTTGATCAAACACTCGTTCTTCAGCTGTGATGATAAGGTCAAACTCATCTGTTGTGTCCTGGAATCTCTCTGGGTTGGCTTTTATTCTTTTATTTCTGTCCAGCATGTGTAGAATTCCATTTTGTGTATATCTAGTTGTCTAAGTTAAGGCTTTCTCAGAAGTATGATTGAACATTTTAGCATGTTAAGTATTAAATTAACACTATCAATTAATTATCAAATAATATTAATAATATTAATATATAATATACACCAATTTTTAAAAAATGCTGGGTTGAAATGGTAGCAAAATACAGAAGGGTATTTTGGGTATAGTGTCAATAGCCTGGGCATATGAATTCTTTGCATACAGAAACATGCATAAGAGAGCCAAAATTCTTTGTTTGGTATTTTAAATCTCTGTTTGAAACTACAAAACTGCAACATACATACTATTAGTTTTATTAACTGCTTACTCAAAACAACATTYGCTCTAAGCTTATTAGATTATTTACCTTTATCAACTCAAGGTTTCTTCAATTTGGCGTTCATGCACATATTCATAAATAAATTAGTATTCACTACACAAGTTATACAATGGTTTTGAGYGACATACCATGRAATATCCCACAACACCTTGTATTTTCTAGCAAAGACATGCGCCTTCCGGCAAGTGTTTACTAAGAAGATACATGTGATGAATGAGATATTCCATTGTTCTATGAGAAAGCATTGTATAACTATTTTATTCCACACTATTGAAAATACATCAGCATTTTGTCAAGAAATTGAAACCATAACAATGCCAGATGGAAAGAAACAACACTTATAAAAATTCAGGCCGGTCGCTAGGACCTTGAAATGTGAGGTTCGTTTTTCTTCCAAGCTCACTACCAACAAYGCCATTTCTTGAAAAACTAWAACAGTGCTAAACTCCTACAAAGGTGAAGGGAGGGTTAGTTCAAACCATCCGTAGCGACGGGCCTGAACTTTCCTACATTCTGCTTGGCTGTATTTTTATAGTATGGGATAGATATATACATGTATACACACACATGTATAGCATATTTCTTTAGTCTATAAAGAATTTTAGTAAAGGCAGGCAGTTCCAGGCAAACAGTATAAAATAACATGTTCCACATCCTGAGGTATATTTTTTCAAAGGCACATGTTTTTGAAGAGATAGTGAAAAGGAGGATAAGAGCATTTTTAAAATAGTAAATAAAATTTAAAAATCTAGTTGTTCTAGTGCTTTCAGACTAATTGGGACACTTTTAAACGCACATTACCCCTACATTCAAGGTTCATGCATGAAACTCAACTSACATGTCGATTTTTAGAGAAGCAGGGAAAAAAACAGGAGAACAGCACATCAAACAAACTCAACATATTCTAGCTTAGGCATGGGACTTAAACGCAGGTCTAGTGCAATCTGAATGATTTTGATGCAAATTAGCAGTGTAGACTATTCAYAAGTTCAATTCTCATTTTTTCATRAAAGTAGATCATTCAAAACCACACAAATTACAGATAAATTATTAATAGGTAAATGAAAGTGGAGATCCACTACTTTTAAGAACTGCACCAAACTAAATTTAAATAATCTGAATTAGCCAGCTGCCTGTTGATTGAGTTTAAATTCTTAAATAGAATGTTACTATTTGTTACTTGAACAACATGGACAAAAGCCAGTGAAGTAGACTCAGCAAAGTGAGAAAGACTAAAATGGAACTCCATCTGCAAAGGGTAGCATGGACAAAAAAGTGTCTACTGATCAACTACCTATTCAAATGACCCTTCAATGCTTACAAAGATGGTCAATGCAATGTTAGCCATGTTAACCTGTACATTTTGGGGACTGTCCATTTTTTATCAGGGAAGGGAAGTGGAATTCACCTGTTAACCCATAYGAGAAATCTGCTCCCCCCAATTGTTGCATAGAAAAATACCCCTCCCTTGTTTATTCATTTTAATTAATGAAAAATTGCTGTGCARCTCGGTTTCATGCCACCCCTCAAGCCCAAAATGTTTTAATGTACCCCAATTTGTTTCAATAACCCCCACAATAAACAATCATACTGCCTCCCCTACCTGGTAAAAAATGAAATGTCCCTTTTAATAATTAGTCTTCTAATTTTGTAGTGATGCTAACTCAATTAAGTCTTATGCAACATTYTAATTATAACACTAGGCTGATTTCTTTTATCTATCTACTTTTGGAGAGCTACTTCACCACCTTATTTTCCCGAAAATAAGGACCATGGTTACTGTTTGCTTTAAGTTAATAACTTGTATAGATGCCAGTATTAGTATAATAGAAATTAGTAAGCGCAGTCTTGAGAAAGACTGTTTTTGGTGGYGACTGACATTTCTACAACCTGAGYGGAAGTCATCTTCAGAGTCGTGAYGAAACGAGAGAAACTAGTAAAGTACTTTAAAWTTCAGTTACTCTCTGCACACTTTATGATTAATACTAAGGTTATCTACCCTAAAATCATAACTTGATATATTGSCCTATAACACTATGTCACAAACAAAAMAGTCTATTGTTTTAACKCTAAGGATTAGGGTCGCTATAGGTGGACAGAATGTCAACACAAATAAAAAACATGATAAGACTGCATTTACAAAACAGAGAAACGACAAATACCATTAATATTGAAAGATAAACATTGAAAAAACATATATGGAAACTAGACGGTGTGAAAGCAAACTTTTGAAGAGAAAGACTTAGTCGAATTGTTCATTGTTTATCAAATCTGTCCCACACTGTAAACGTTTTATCACACTCATGTATGTTATAATCTTATTCAACCATCACTAAATAAAAAAAATGAAAAAAAAACAAAAACACACAATGAAAATATAACCGAGACAATTACCTCTCATTAAAACCTAACCTTAAAACTTGAATGCAAAATCAAATTATGTACCCGAATGTTGAAGTAGCTTACAACAATAATTATGTGTTGTATTAGATTTAGGATCACTCGTCTCCAGAAACATACCATGTTCTTGTGTATTCAAATCTGATGCCTTTACCACTCCTGGGTGGGCAGCTTAATGCCTAACAGGTCTTGTGACCCAATTGATAAAGCAGCCGGTAGATCGAATTAGAATTTAGTTGTTTTTTTTTTGGAGGGAGGAAAACCCGGAGGAAAAACCCTCGAAGCACAGGAGATAACCAACAAACAACTCTACTCACATGCGGCACCGAGACCRGCAGAGCTTAACCCGGGTTGCATTGGTGAGAGGCAGTGCATTAGTAGCCCATGCCACCGTGCTTCCCTGGTAGCATTMTTCGAAAAGTTTCAAATCAAGCTGAATAACATTCCTCAAATTAACTCCAAAAAGCAATAAGATTTCCTAGGCAGTTAATTTCCTTTTTTAAAAATATTAACTTGCAGAATGTCAATAGATTACCAACATCTCATAAACCCCTGGAAGACAGCGCCATGCAACCTGTAGATGACCAAGTCCTGAAAATGGGGTAATAGAAGGCTTATGTCATTGTCACACCCAAGCGAATCCCCTTTTATTAGGGGAATTCCAGGCGGAAATCAGTCCATCTCAGTCAATATTATATCTTGTCTGGTTTCTTTAAGAACTCTTCAGCTTAGCTCAAGTTCTTGCCAGTTCTTTGTATATTGCTCTACCTTAGGATTAGGTTCCTACAATTCCAAAATTAAAGTTTCTACATRCAAATCCATATTTAAAAAATTCAAGATGTACCAAATTTGTCAGCATTTGTCCAGGTTTTGAGGGCTCTTTTTGAGGGCTGTTTTTTGAGGGCTCATTGGCAAATTCCATACATTGTTTCCATCAGCAACTGAATATTGCATTTGATTGGTCCAAAGCGTACAAATGTCATCAAGTCATTCCAAGAACTTGTTGCAACACTATTCTTCTCTGTAGCATCTTTATCTTCACATTTTTTTTATTATACAGAGCAGATATGTGCCCTGGTCTAGCGACAATGAATACCACTGTTCCTYTGTATTAATGTGCAATAATTCTCAAAACTTTGATCAGCAGATTCTTTCATAGCACTGGACTGAAGAACAAGGCCTGGCATACCAATAATTAGCATATTCAATTAAAACTTGGGCAAAACTGGAGCAGCTGCTCTGTCGATGGCAGGATCAAAAGGACCAGGTTTGTTTATTGTAACCAACCACTAGCTGGCACTGTTGACTGGGATTAGTGGCAACTATCCACTGTACCGAYTGTTCTACAACTGGGGATCCAGAATTGTGTTGAGAATTTGGAAAATACTTCATAGACATCTGGATTTATTTTTTATATCCCAAAAAATTAAAACCACTTGTTTCAAAAGTAAAATTACTAGCTTCAAGTTCAAGGAAAAGTAGTTTCCACTTGAAGATAAATTTGGCCAGACACAGCAGAAAAAAGSAGCAATCTTCAAACTTCTCTTGCCAACACTACATCTATACTGGGATTGTTCAAATTTGCCTCAACCTGACATATTTGTTTACTCTCAATCAAGGTAAATAGGGCATTGTTAGGATAAAATCTTGAATTCTTCTTAAGAAAAAGTTCAATGTAAATAGAACCCCAAACGATATCCAAGATGAAGCACGCATCATGCAATAACTGTTGAACTCGGAAGCCATCTGTCAAGAATCTTTACTTATCTTATGCTCACTGGGAAAATTGGTTTTCATCTTTCACAAGCATTAGCAAAGTTTACTTCAATAATTTACCGCATTGTTCGATTTTGTCTACATGTAAATTTAATGGTTTTGGATAGAAATCCCTTGTTGAATATGCTTTTTTGAACCTATCACAGCACACCTCATTGTTTAATCCAGMCTTCACTATAATCATTTTCTCTCCAATAAGTTTTCAAAACACCTACAGKATCACTAGTTGACTAACAGTTTAACTCTTACTTAGATATTGAAACACTCATTTTGAATTTTGTCTCAGAATCCTCAAGCATTTTTCTCCTGTTTTATCAATTTCCGTCTTAGCTCACATCCACCAGTCAAGTTATTCAACCATCCCATTTACCAGCTATTGAAACACTTATTTAACTGCATTCAATAGCGGAAAAAAAGTGAATAAAAACCCAATTGTATTTTCCAATTGCCATTTCCACAGGCATTTTTTTAAAAATCTCCTTTGATATTTGATTGATCTAGCTGATAAACATTTTCCCCTCACGAAACTAAAATATTTAATTAGATTTCCAACTTTTTTCAAAAGKCCAATAAGTCAACTGCTTTGTCAATGTTGTTTTGCCCAATGAGAAAGGGTACTTGTTTCAATTCCCTTCAAACATCTGTCCCTCATGAATAATTCATCTTATTAATGCTTGCCAATGGAGACAGACAAGAGCCGTTTCAGTCCCAAGGGAATGGCATCACAATATTTTGGGTGTGCGTTATTTGATTATGGGACTCTTTAGAAACTTATTTCCCAAAATACAAGCCAGGGGTATGTTAGGGTTTCAAGAAAGAGTGTAGATGAAGACRTTAGTTTTGGTACTGTATTAGTAAAGCATTCACAAACACACAAGTGTGTGGCACTAGATATATTTATTTTGTGCCACATTAAACATGAATTCATGATACAAATCAATTACTGAATCCTATTACCTTTGAACACTAGATCCGCTGCTTGTTGGTCATCATTCCTAAAACTATTCTAAAGGCATCTAAATAGAAATTGTTTTTCTTTCCATGCTCTTTCCCAAAGGAATCACTTTTCTTCTGGTCCTCTCWGGGCAGACAACCTTTCTTGAACTTCAAGGGCTGAAGATTGAAAGTTATCATTTTTGGGGGAGGGGAGGGTGAATGGTTGGTTTGGTGAAATTTTCGTAGGAAAAGGCATTATCTGAAGTAGCCAAATAAAAAATGTGACATTTTTGCTTATAAGTTCAAGTCTGCAAGGTCTTTTTTTTACAACTTTACATGGTCTGTTTGCRTCTGTAAATGTCAATAAATTGTAAGTCAGTGGCAGCTAAGGCTGCAACATTGCATAAGAACAGAAATTGTTTTGCTTGCGAAGCTCCCTTGATGAACATTCCCTCAATGAAACAACCGGATCAATGGTCCAGGAGAATTTCACCTTTTTCCCATACTTACACAAAAACCTTTTACACAATACTGCCTCAGGATGTTAGAAAAAATATGTTAAATTAATTATTATAACTATTGCCTGGAATGTAAAAAGAATATTTTGATTTTTGTACCACCTTTTCACGGCTTTCGAAAGACATCATTACCATGMCGTCATGTATGGACCTGCCTTTCTTTAGAGCGAAGAAATCCGTTAGAAAGAATGAAATTTTATGCCTGGATACAAGTTTGAGTCTCTTCGCAATAAATCTTTATACATTTCTTCGTATGTAGTATCGAATGTATAAACGTTGGGTTTGTCTGGAGCTGATCCTGGTAACTTTACGTGTGTTCCTGAGCCATAAGATTTCACATCGAATCCTCTCTTGCTGTAAGAAATATAAAATTTAAACATGTTGAAAACGCCACTACCCTACAAATTTCACTTTGATAAAAATCCTGGTACACCCTGGAATTTTATCAAGACCTTTTTCTCTCATTTCTTGTAGATTTTCTCCACTTTACCTTAGGAAATTATGAGCTTCCATACTTCGGTTTTGATTACTTGAACAAACGACTGCTATTCTCAACTTGTGAACCATAATTATGATATATAATGGGAATTTGGGGTATAAAAAAATAGAATAATAGAATAATAAGGGTTTCAACTATAAACTTTTGATAAATTGASCGACAGAAACGCTTTTTTCTGGCCGATGTAAACGGATAACYTTTGGATAACTTCAAAAATTCAGGAKTACAAAAACAKGGACGACGACTYCTTGTTTGAAATCTTTCCTGCGTCATAGATCATGATGTAATCATCCGGGACATCAACACTATCTCAGGCTCTTTTCGGTCTTGGAAAGACGAGAGGGACTGATACTAGTAGAATTTTCAAAATGGCGGACGAAAGTCAACTTTTGGAGGTAAAAATATTTAAGACAATTTTAAGCCTCATTTTCTCTTAAGCTTTTTATTACTATGTTGAATAATCGTAAGGAACTGTGGAGAGCAAGCAGCGTGRGAGGCTATAGGCCCCTATTTTTGCTAATATCTACTAATTTATCCAAAACCTTTTCACTTTTTGCCAGTTCTAGTGCCTTGAGTTCCTCGATCATGCGAGTTCAACGTGCTCTTTACGTAAAATTTAGAATGCCAGTACCCTTCCTTTTCAAATAATAAGATTTTATTGAGATTAAGTGTTGAAATTAGTGAGAATCTTGCATAAGCGAAGAGTAATGAAAATCCCACATGGAGCCCAACTAAGAAGTTAAAGTGAAAATAAAATCAGAAAATCCTTGTCAGTTGTCAGTGACGATGAACGGTCAAATTAGTCTTAGCTTGGCCATACCTTGTTTTTGGCTGAACGTTAATACTGATCAAAATGACCAGCAAGGCAAAGATTTTACCCGAGAGAAGTTCTAATTCTAGCCAGAGATTGTTCAATGACCAACCATCATACACAACATTATATATTCTTATTATTATCTGGCTTGGCCCAGGATATAAATGACCTCTCCTGTAGTCTACCCCTGTGTCTTAGATAGCTCAGGTAGTTGCAAACGTCATTGGTTCAAATCCTGTTCAAAGCCAGTTTTTTTTCCATTCTTCAGCTCTATCTATTAGGCTGTATTCACTTACTTATTCTCTAACCATTATAGGCCTGCAAAATAGTTAGCAAAAATATCTATAATAATCATTATTTTTTCCCCTCATTTAGACTCAAGAGAAGAGTGAGAAAAGAAAARAGTTAGAAAGCTGGTTAAACAAACTACTGCGGATCAAAATAACTGATGGCCGTACATTGATAGGATCATTTTTATGTACAGACAAAGATATGAATATTATTCTTGGTTCCTGCCAGGAGTATGTTGGACAGCCAGGTTTGTGTGTTGTGTATTTTATGCTCTGGAATTCAAATTTTAAGGAATCTTGAAAAGCCCTTGGGAAAGGAAATTGGGAGGAAAATGTCTTAGAGTGTAATGATATACAGCTCCTTGAAAACCCCTGAACCATTAATTTTTTCCAACCTTGAAACAACCTCTGGGCTGTTCAAAGTCAGGGCACAGCTAACTCACAGATTGAACACTGAAACAACATCTGAGCTGATCTAAGTCAGGGCATGGATATCTCACTATAGAACCCTGAAACAACCTATGGGCTTATCTAAGTCAGGGCACAGCTAACTCATAGATTGAACCCTGTAATAACCTCTGGGCTGATCAAAATCAGATATGACAGGGCGAACTCATATATCAAGGCCTGAAACAATCTCTGGGCTGGTTTAAGGCACAGCTAACTCTAATAACATCAGGACTAGCTACAATGTATCTAATTTGTGGCCCTCACAGTCAGGGCACAGCCCCACARTCCCTTAATTAAAGGGAATTAGGGAAAACAGTCCTAAATATAGGAAACCCATATTCACAGTGGTCAAGCTTTACACGCTGCTTATCCCATCTCTTCACCTCAATCACTCACTAGCTAATACACACCACCTACTAGTGATATCCCTGCATTCTTTTTTCTTTCTTTTCGACTCTGATTACGGAGCAAGCATGCAGTATTTCTATCTCTGCCTGTAGCCCGGTATCCTGACGTACTGTAAGGCTAACATTATCCAAGTGCTCACATGAGATAGAAGATTGAGAAAACAAAGCAAATTTCAAAACAAGTGGAAAAATAAATAG